TTATCAGGACAACACTAGCATCATAGAATGAATTAGGAAATGTTTTCTTCTCTTCAATTTCTTGAGATTTGAGAAGCACTGGTGTTAGTTCTTTTTAATTGTTTGGTAGAATTCACCAGTGAAGTCATCAGGACCACAGGTTTTCTTTGTCAGGATATTTTTGATTACTGATTCAATCTCCCTACTAGGTATAAGTCTATTCATGTTTTCTATTTCTTCATGTTTCAATCTTGGTAAGTTTTATATTTCTGGTAATTTGTCCATCACATCTAGGTTACCCAATTTATTAACATACAATCGTGCATACTATTCTTATAATCTTTATTTATGTGGAATCAGTAGTAATATCCCCACTTTCAACTCTGATTTTTGTACTTTTACCCTTCTATTCTTCCTTAGTCAATTTAGTTAAGGTGTACCAATTTTGTTGTCTTTTTCAAGAACCAACTTTTGATTTTGTTAATTCTCTCTAATCTTTTTCTGTTCTGTTTGTCTCTGCTTTAATCTTTATTATTTTCTTCATTCTGCTAGTGTTGGGTTGAGTCTGTTCCTGTTCTGACAGGGTTTCATTCCCATCACCCAGGCTGGAGTGGAATGTTGGTCGCCATCACAACTCACTGTAACTTCTGCTTCCAGGTTCAAGTGATCTTCCCACCTCAGCCTCCCAAGTAGCTGCGACTATGCACAGACCACAGCACCTAATTTTTGCATTTTTGATAGAGACCGGGTTTCGCCATGTTGCCCAGGCTGGTCTCAAACTCCTGGGCTCAAGCAATCTGCCCGCCTTGGCCTCCCAAAATGTTGGGATTACAGGTGTGAGCCACTGCACCTGGCCTTCATTCTTAATGTAAGCATTTACAGCTATTAATTTTCCTATGAGCATTGCTTTTGCTGCACCTTCTAACTTCTAGTATGTTGTGATTTGGTTTTCACTTGCCTGTAAGTATTTTCTAATTTCCCTGTGATTTCTTTTTTTCACCCACTGGTTAAGAATGTGTTGCTTAATTTCCATACATTTGTGAATTTTTCAGTATTCTGTTACTGATTTCTAATTTCATTCTGTTGTGGTGAGAGAAGATAACACATATATCTTCTGAATTTGATTGAGATCTGATTTGTAGTCTAACATATGGTCTATCCTAAAGAATGTCTCATGTGTATGTGAGAAGAATGTGTATTTTTGTATTCTGTATACATCTTTAGATCTAATTGGTTTATTTCATTCTCTTTTTTTTGAGATGGAGTCTCGCTTTGTCTCCCAGGCTGGAGTGCAATAGCACAATCTTGGGTCACTGCAACCTCTGTCTTCCAGGTTCAAGCGATTCTCCTACCTCAGCCTCCTGAGTAGCTGGGATTACAGGCACACGCCATGACACCCAGCTAATTTTTGTATTTTCAAGAGATGAGGTTTTACCAGGTTGATCAGGCTGGTCTTGAACTCCTGACCTCAGGTGATCCACCCACCTTGGCCTCCCAAAGTGCTAGGATTACAGGGGCGAGCCACCACGCTCTGCCTTCATTCTTCAAGTCCCCTGTTTTCCTACCTAATTCCTATCTAGTTTTTATACCCACTGTTGACAGTGGGGTACTGAAGTTTCTATCTATTATGAAAGAACCATTTCTCTCTTCCATTCTGCCCACTTTTGCTGCATATGTTTTGACAGTCTGTTGTTCTATACATAAATATGTACACGTATTATCTTCTTGCTGTATTTAATCTTTTAATAATATATAATATCCTTCTTTGTCTCATATAATCTTTTTTGAGTTAAGGTCTATTTTACTTGATAATAACATAGCTGTCCCTGCTGTCTTTTATTTACTATGTCCATAAAATCTTTTTCCATCCTTTTGCTTTCAACCTATTTGTGTTTTTGGATCTAAAATCTTACTCTTGTAGACAGCATATGTTTTTAAATATAAGACTATATTTTTAAAAATCCATTCTGCCAATGTCTGTTATTTGATTAGAGACTTTAATCCATTTATATTCAAAGAAATTACTGTGCACTGGGCACAGTGGCTCATGCCTGTATTCCTAGCACTTTGGGAGGCCAAGGTGGGAGGATTGCTTGAGTCCAGGAGTTCCAGACTAGCCTAGGCAACATGGTGAAACCCTGTCTCCACAAAAAATACAAAAATTATCTGGTCCCAGCTACTTGGGAGGCTGAGATGGGAGGATTTCGAGAGCCCAGTCAAGGCTGCTGTGAGCCACTGTACTCCAGCCTTGATGACAGAGCAAGACCCTGTCTCAAGGAAAAAAAAAAAAAGAAGAAATTATTGATAAGGACAAATTTTCTTCTTCCAATTTGCCATTTATTTTCTATATGCCACAGCTATTTTTTCCCTTATTTCCTGTACTAATGTTTTCTTGTGTGTTTACTTAATTTTTTTTTGTAATGAAATGTTTTAATTCCCTTCTCATTGTCTTTTGTATATATTATATAGCCATTTTCTTCACGGATACCATGGGGATTATGCTTAACATCCTAATCTTGTAACACTCTAATGTGAATTTAAATGAGCTTCTTTTTTTTTTTTTGAGACTCACTTTATCACCCAGGCTGGAGTGTAGTAGCATCATGATGTCAACTCATTGCAACCTCCCCATCCTGGGTTCTTTCTACAACTTCTTTTAACATTTCTTGTATTGGCAATAAATTCTTTCTGGCTTTTGTTTGAAAATATCTTTATTTCACCTTCACCTATAAATGTTACTTTGATTGGACTTAAGTCTAGGATAACATGGGGGTGGTTTTGTGGGTTTTTTTCACCATATGAAAGATAGTCTAGTTTGCACTGTTTCTGATAAGAATTTTAAAATCATTCTTATCACTGTTTCTTGGACCGAAATTTATCTTTTGGGGGAGTGGTTTTATCATTTTGGTTTTCAGTAATTTGATTATGCTATGCCTTTGTATGGTTTTATTCTATTTGGAGATGAGTTCCTTGGATCTGCAGGCTTAACAGTTTTCATCATGTTTGGAAAATATTCACCTACTTTCATATGATCCCCTGATCCCTTCCTGACCACTCTCCTCCTGAGACTCAAATTACATATATTAGATCACTTGACATTGTCCCACAGGTCACAGAAGCTGTGTGCTGTTTTTTCCTTTTTTCTGTCTGTACTACAATTTGGATAATTTGTATTATAGGTTGAATATCCCTTATCCAAAATGCTTCAGACCAAATGTCTTTCAGACTTTAGACTTTGGAATGTTTGCATCATACCAGTTGTGTATCCCTAATCAGAAAATCCGAATGCAAAATCTGAAATATTTGGGGTGCGGACAAGACAGTCAATGGAAATGCTCACTGGAATATTTTGGATTTTGTGTATCTTCACTTTCACTGATCTTGTTTTCTGTAATGTCTAATCTGCTATTAAATCCATTCAGTGAAGTTTTCATTTAATTTCACTTCATTTCAAATCTTTCATCTCTAGAAATTTCATTTTGTTCTTTTCTGTATTTTGTATTTATCTCCTCATTATATTCATGTTATCCTTTAACCTCAACATATTTAAAATAGCTGTTTAAAAATCCCTGACTGCTAATTTGATCATCTGGGTTTTTTTTTGGTGGGGGGGTTGGGGTTTTTCTTAAAAAATCTATTTATAATACCTGGCTTTTCTTCTGATTTGGGGTACACACATTTTTTCCTGATTCTTCACAATAATATTTCATTAGATGCTGGCCACTGTGGATGTTTCATTGTTAGGTGTCTTAATTTTATAGTCTTCCCTTAAAGAGCGTTAATCTTTACTTTGGCAAGCAGTCAAATTACCTGCGAATCAGCCTTCAAGTCTTTTAAGTCTTGTTGGTTGGTTGGTAATAGGCTTGTGGTAGCCTTTTTTCCAGGACTACCTGATCCTTATTATTAAGGTGTGACTATTCTGAGGTCTCTCTGAACATCCCAGAGGTTCAACAAAGTCTCTTTTCTATGTCTGAACAGAATTCAACCACTTCTGAATCCTTTATTAGCTCTAGGAATTATCTAGCTTGCAGCTTCCTAATAGTTGTTCTGTTCCTACTAATTGTTCTTTGCCCAGTCTCTTGAAATTTAATTCTAAGCATGCACAGCTTAGTATTTGGCCAAAGACTCCAATGGATCCTGTGGAGGCATTTGAAGTTCTTTCTCTGAGTATTTCCCTTCTTTCTGATACTCTGCTCCACCAATTCTAGCCACTTCAGCCTCCCTCAATGCTTATCTCTATTCTCAACCCAGTGAAACCACTATACTCTGCTTGGAACCTCCTTCCATGGGCTATAATCCAGCGATCATCTCCAGGCAGAACAACCAGGATCTTATTAAGGCTCTGTCTTTGTTTCTCATCTCTCAGTGATCACAATCCTGTACTGTCAGCTGTCTAATGTCTGAAAATAGCTGTTTCACAGATTTTGTCCAGCTTTTTCTCTCTTGCTTTGTCCAAACTTTTATTTACAATCAGAATCCAAGTAGAAAAGCAATTATACTCCTTCATGGCTGAGAGTGGAATTTCCCTCTCCAATTCTTTTTAAAGAAAGTAATACTGTGATTCCTTTATTGTATTAATTCTTCTCCAATCATGAAAGTGTTAAAAAGCTTAAAATTTTTAAACATTATCATTCCTTTGCAAATCACCTTAAATGGTACTCAAAAAAAACTTTATAAACATACTGTGCTCAATTTACAGTCATGCTAAAACAAATAGAGCAGTGACAATAGAATTGTATTCCTTACTTATGTACAATTTACGTAATTTGAATTCCATCAAAGACATTTCTTTGTAAGTAGCAAGAAGTTTCTTTTGCTCTTCTAAAATATAAAGCTTCTTCTAACTCATTATCTTTCTTTAATACTAATTACAGAATTAAAAAGCAAAATAAGTCAGCCATAAATAACTGGTATTGGAATTAAACTATGTCTTACAATATATAAATGCAGTTTATTTTTATGAAATGAAGCAAAATATACCAAGAGGGTAAAAAAATAGAAGACATAAAATGATAACTTACCTCTTATTTGCCTGTCAACAACTCTCATTTCCTTTCTTATCTTCAGTGACCATTCATTGACCTGGGAAAATTTTTTAAAAAGGAATAAGAAGAAAAGCCAAAACTCCTAAGCCAATCAATTTAAGAATTTTGTATTTACTCTACATTTATTCCAGAACAAAATTAAAAAAAAAAAAAAAAAAGCTGGGCCCAATGGCTTACACTTATAATCCTAAAACGTTGGGATGCAAGGCGGGCAGATGAGGAGGTCAGGAGTTCAAGAACAGCCTGGCCAACATAGTGAAACCCTGTCTCTACTAAAAAGATACAAAAAAATTGGCCGGGTGTGGTGGTGGGCGCCTGTAATCCCAGCTACTCAGGAGGCTGAGGAAGGAGAATCATTTGAACCTGGGAGGCAGAGGTTGCAGTGAGCCAAGACCACGCCATTGCACTCCAGCCTGGTCGACAGAACAAAACTCCATCTCAAAAAAAAAAAAAAAAAAGTCATTTTCAAAGACAGCTTTAGGGTCAAATTTTACTTTTTTTCCCCTATTTCACCTCTTTTTATTCACAGTGCACAGAAGTTCCAAGGTATTCGAAGATTCATAGCTAAAAGCAGGCTGTAAGCAGCACTTTATATAGAACCTCAGAAAGAGTATGGTACTAAGTACACAAAGATTTAAAGAGGTCGATGTACGCAGACAGCTTTAAGAGCATCAGAAAATTTTCATCTCTCACAGTAATCATTTTAAAAACTACTCTGCCTGTGTCATGAGAACTCATCGTTCCCTTTTTCCTTTTAACATTAATGCTTTTCCATTTTACAAAAGAAAAACATTCCCCTAACTTATGTCTATTACCGTGATATAGTTCCCTGACAGGCAAAAATTTCTGAAGCACTGAACATAGGGTGGACTGGAAATGCTGGTGCACGTGTTGAGAAAGTAGTAAATTACTCTGATTACCAAGTTGTTATGCAAGTGAACTGCTTTCCAATTCTTCACATTTCAAAAACACTGACTGAAAACCTGAGTTGTGAGTCAATTAATCATTAAGTCAATTTTATGCTAAATTGTTATATGCTTTTTAGTATATGACTCAGAAGTTCAAAAAACTGAGTGACACTGCCATAACTAAACTCTTTCCATTACCATTTAATTACATCAACGAGGTTTCTCAGCACTTGATTCTAATAAATCATAAAAGAGGAACAGAATTTTTTTTTTATTTTTTTGAGACGGAGTTTCGCTCTTGTTGCCCAGGCTGGAGTGCAATGGCACAATCTCGGCTCACCGCAACCTCCGCCTCCTGGGTTCAAGCAATTCTCCTGCCTCAGCCTCCCGAGTAGCTGGGATTACAAGCATGCGCCACAATGCCCAACTAATTTTTTGTATTTTTAGTAGAGACGGGGTTTCACCATGTTGACCAGGATGGTCTCGATCTCTTGACCTCGTGATCCACCCGCCTCAGCCTCCCAAAGTGCTGGGATTACAGGCGTGAGCCACCGCGCCCGGCAAGGAACAGAATTTATGCTGAACCCTTGTACCATTTATTCATGTAGCAGTCATCCATGGAAAAATAGACTAAACGACATTTCTAAAGTCCATACCATTAGAAGATGCATTTCCAATCAATTTCATTTTTAATGTTTATAATGAAGAAAATCTGTAAAATATTATGCAATAACAGTAATTGTAATAATTTGTGAAAATTATCAGAATCAAAATGAAATCACTAGTATATTAAAAAAATCTGACATATAGAGCTGGGAAACAAAGAAAAGAGGGTTTCACACTTGTTTACCTTAACAAAAAAACTATCACAAGACTGCAAAAACCACAGCCTTGCTTGCTCAAAGGCACTGCAATCTTACACAAAAAATACTTCCGCAAGGACATCTGCCCAACAACTGCCTGTCCAACCTTAGACTGGCATCACTCCTGTTATTGATCTCTGTAACCAAGGATAATCATTTCAAAACAATTACCTCCTTTTCCCTTTAAAAACCTTAGTCTTCCTTTACCTATTTGAATATACACATAGCAAGCACATTCCCACCGCAACGCTGCTGCCAAATAACATCATTTTAGTCCAGGGAACCTCTCTCTGCTTGTTATTTAGGTTGCCCAACTCCACTCAGAAGAAATACTTATGCACTTAAAACCGTACAGTCATACAAAACTGTATGGTCATACAAGTTTTAAAAATTTAATCCAGTTTATGTACATTTTTGGAAGTGAAATTTATATAATTAATCATTTTAAAGTATACAATTCACTGGCATTTAGTGCACTTACAACGTCATACAACCACCACCTCCCTATACCCTTTAAATAATCTCTTCCTATCTCCCCTCCGCAGTTCCCTGGCAACCACTAATTTACTTTCTGTCTCGATGCGATTGCTTATTCTGATTATGAAAGGAGTCACACAATGGGTAATCTTAGTTTCCAGTTCATTTAACACGTTTTCAAGGTGCATCCAGGTTGCAGCATGTATCAGTATTTCAGTCCTTTTTATGGCTATTATTCCTTTATATGTGTATAACACAACTCATTTATCCATTCAGCTGTTAATGGATGTCTGGGTTGTTTACATCTTTTGGCTACCATTTCTACTACATCTCACCAATACTTGTTATTTTCTAATTATTTTTATGATAACTGTCTGCTGAGTGTGAAGTGGCAGTTTACTGTTTTGATTTACATTTTCTTAATGCCCAGTGAAGCTGGACATTTTTTTTTTTTTTGAGATGGAGTTTTGCTCTTGTCACCCATGCTGGAGTAGTGGCACGATCTACCACCTCCCAGGTTCAAGTGATTCTCCTGCCTCAGCCTCCCAAATAGCTGGGTACAGGTGCTCGCCACCATACCCGGCTAATTTTTGTATTTTTAGTAGAGATGGGGTTTCACCATGTTGGCCAGCCTGGTCTCAAACTCCTGACCTCAGGTGATCCACCTGCCTCAGTCTCCCAAAGTGACTGGGATTAAGGGCGTGAGCCACTGCACTTGGCCAAAGTTGGACATCTTATCATGTGCTTGTTGGCCATTTGTATATCTCCTCTGGAGAACTGTTTATTCATATCTTCTGTCCATTTTTTAATTGAGTTGTCAGTTTGTTGGGTTGTATAAGTTCTTTATATATTCTGGTAGTAGTAGACTCTTCACAGATATATGATTTGCAAATATTTTCTCCCATTCAAGAAAGTCTTCTTTCTTGATAATGTCCTTTGAAACACAAAAGTTTTTAATTTTGAAAAAGTCCAGTTTATCTAAATAATGTGTTTTCTGAACTTGTTCTTAAAGTCTTAGCTTAAATGTTACTTCAGGGAGACATTCCCTGACTCACAGAATGGGTTCAACCATCCAGCAGTACAACTGCACAGAACCCTATTCCCCCACCTCTTCTGAATAGCTCATTATACTTATGATTACTCAGAAGTACAGACTATAAGCTCCAGAAGGTCAAAGACCTTCTCTTGTTCACCAAGCCCTTGTATAATGCCGGGCACAAAGCAGATGCTCCATAAATATCTGTTGGATTTAATTGTATGGAATATGAAATGTGAAGGGACAAAAAAATTTAGCCATAAATAACACTTACATAACAATCTTCAGAAACTTTCTATGTATGTTTTTAGATGTCAAAGAGTAAAAGTTTCATAAAATATGTCAAAAAGGGAAATTCCTTTTAAACTTATACAATCAAATGGGACTTTGCCAAAAAGAAAAACTGACCTAAAAAACAATCTGAAGAACCAAAAGTATCCAGTCATGTCTCAGACCAGTGCTTCTCAACCTTAACTATACAAAAGTCAACTGGGAAACTTTAAAAATACTATAATTGGGTCGGGGTAGAACCCAAATGGCAGGTAGCATTTAAAATCTCTCCAGGTGACTGTAATGTTCTATTAGGATTAAGAAACATAGTCTAAGGCAAAAGGCTCAAGAAAATGTATCAAGCAAATCTCATAACTGTAAAGACCACTATGATAAACAAAAGGAAATTTAAAACCGATGCAAAGAAAAGTTGACATTTATTTAGTAAATTTGACATTATTTACTACTGAATAGGATTTCAGTAGTAAATGAAAGGCCCTTATAATTGTTAAGTAAAATAGAACATAAGGAGAATAGACTAAAAAATCAATTAGTAAATTAGACAATATATTTGAAAACCACAAGGAACCTATAGAAGGTTTCACACTACCAAATATTATCCTTTATTCAAATTCATTCATAGACAGTCTATTATATGCCAAACTAAGCAAAGGAAACTAAAACCATTAAGAGGGTATTTTCCACAAATAATGCTGAGAGACAGCTTAAGACAAATAGAAAACAAAACGTTTGAATTCCTGTTCCATACTTCACTGAAATTCATTCTAGGCAAACTGAAGGCATATGGAATGCAAAACTGTGGTGCTTTAAGAAGACAGTATAGGAAAATATACTTATGATTTCAGGTTAGAGAAGTTCTTAAACACGACACAAAAGCAATAATCACTAAAAGAAAAAGGCTTGATATCTTTATCTATATTGAAATTAAGAATTTTTATTCATCATGACTCCATTAAGAAAGTAAAATGCTTTCTTAATGGAGTCCCAAAACATATTGGGAGATAATATTTGTAACCATATAAATGGTAAGTAAAAGGCATTTACTAGTATTTTTTAAGAATGGAATTCTGAACATTGTACAGTCAGCCCTCTGTATCCATGAGTTCTCCATCTGTGGATTCAACCAACTACAACTCAAAAATATTAAAAAAACAAATGATTGGCTGCATCTGTACAGAACATGTAGGCTTTTCCCATCATTATTCCCTAAACAACAGAGTATAACAACTATTTGCATAGCATTTACACTGTATTAGGTATCATAAGTAATTTAGAAATTAAAGTACACAGGAAGATGTACATAGGTTATATGCAAATACTACCTGTTTCTTTTTAAATCAAGGACTTGAGCATCCATGGATTTTGGTCTGGGTGGGGGGACCCTGGAACCAATCCTCCTCAGATACTGAGAAATTACTACATATGAAAGTTTGCAAGATAATTTAAGTTTCTGAATGATAGT